ATTTGGGAAGGGACACCACACCTTATGGGCCCGGGCAGAAGGAGATTTGCTCAGGGGGTTTGGGGGGAGTGGAAGTAGGTCTACAGGTGGGAGGGGGACAGTTAGGGGGCATCTGTATGAGGGCTGGGTAGCCTGCTGAGAGCTGGTGGGCGTGGGTGAGTAGGAGGCTGCAGCAGAGGACGAGAGAAATGGGGGTGGGTGGGTCGGTGCCATAGGGCTCAGTGAGGCTGGAACCCCCAGTGTGTCCTGGCACCGACCTGTGGGGTTGACTTTCCCCAAGAGCACCCTACAGCCTTCTGTGGGGGCACAGGCAGTGGGCTTGGGGTGGAGGCTTTTTGAGGTCGGTTGGGGGAAGAACAGAGACCCAAGACGGCCCATGATGTGTGGCCCCAGGTGTGGGGAGAGTGGGCATCGGGGGAGGCTGAGCTCCCAGCTGCAGAGCCAGACCCTCCACTGGGCTTCTCCATGGACTATTCTTGTCCCAGAGTTAGGCCCATGGGAGGAGAGAACCCAACTCGGTCAGGCAGTCTCCGGTCAGCCTTGTGGGGCAGCCACAGGCCTGTATTTAACTGTGTCCCTGGTTTCGGGGTCTCCATTGTGAAGTCAGGAAAGCACACTGCCCTGCCACCCCCTCCCCACTTCTCTGCCCACTTCCTGCCTTAAGGCAATGACATTTGAGCTTTTTATTTATAACCACAACTCACACGTAAGAATTAACACCATGACTCAGCAGACACACACACACACATACACACACACACACACACACACACACACACACACACACCCCTGCAACAAGTCTCTTGATACAATCCTTCCCCACTCTGTAGGGTATACTCCTGATACTTTCTACGTTATCCTCGTCTATTGCAGGATGAGAACGGGTCACGCCCCACCACACGGATTTCACTCAATGGTCCTGAGGAAACACCATTTGGGAGCTGGGCGTGTCCCCTTTGGGAAGCGCCCCCTGATGTTAACTAACCACCTCCTTCTCGAAGGATGGTCTGTTCTCAGAGAACAATACCGTCCGCCCTGGCGATGCTGGCAGTAGGCAGTGCCCGCTGCCGAGCAGTAGCGAGGATTCCATTTTTAACGTCCATCTTCTTCCCCTCACCTTTCATCTCCCAGCAAAAAGAGAAACTCCGGCCACCTCGGAGGCCCCAGAGCAGGGGCCTTTGGGGCGCCCCACCCCCAACAGGCAGCATCATGGCTGCCTCACCCAGGCTTTTGCACACTCAAGAGAGGCCTTCACACCCTGCTGGCACACGTTCTACACAGACACCCCCAATACAGTTGAGTGGCTGTCTTTGGGGTGCCTGCCCAGCCCCCACTTCCCTCTGTGGACAGCCCCTGCCAAGGCCGGCCGTGGCAGCCACGCTTGTTCTTCTCCTAGCAACCAGCTTGGTGGTTGGGCTAAGTGGAGGAAGGCCGCGACCGGCCATCAGATTCACTTCCCCACACGTAGGCGGGAGACGGGAAGCGTGGTCGGTTTCTGTTGGGTGCTGGGGCTGTAAGGATGGTTAGAACCGTGGCCTGGGGCGCGGCCACAGTGGGGCAGAAGCCCACGTAAAGTGCAGTCACCCGAGCTTCCGTTAGCGGGGAGGGAGTGGGACAGATGTGCCCAGGGCCCAGACTGAGACGGGTGAGAGGCCCACAGGGACAGTGGCTGCTAGTGATCACCCACTTTCTGTGAGCCTGGCCGTGCTTCCCTTCCTTCATTCCCAAGTGCTTTGGACAGCACCCCCGTGGCTTGACGTGAACAGTTTCCCATTCCTTAAACCCAGAACAATCCTCCAGGGACTGTCAGAGACCAGCCACCACTGGATGCTGAGCCACATGCCACTGGGGTCCCCCCGGCACCCCCGCCTCTGTCCAGCCGCGCTCTCCCTGTGCTCCGCCAGGGCGGTTTCCTCTTGCGGGACACGGAGGCAGAGGCTCTTCCAACTCAGCACCCAGACCGCTTGACCGCTTGGTGTGTGCAGAGTCGACAAGGCAGGGGTGGTGGCTCAAAAACAAAAGCAAAAACACTCAAACTACTCCTTAACATCCACAAAATAGCTAATTCGCCAAACCTTCAGTTTTCGTCAATTTATTTAGAAAAAAAATTAACATGGGCAAATGAGATACTTCAGTGTTACAACAGAGTATAGAAATGTCTAGCAATAGTCAAATAATTTGATCTTTAAATACAAAATAACCACATGAACACCTAATATACAGGTTTCATCTGAATACATATTTATTAGATAAATATTAGAGGTTGTCACATCATCTAACTACATACAGCTTTGCAAGACTAGAAATCACAATTAGTTTTCTGACCAGTTTAAAGTATGAAATGATTGCATTGTACATACGATGTACAAAGACGACGATGGCTGCTGTGGGAGTTACTTCAGGCTGCACTTGTGGGTGTGTTTATGTGTGTACGTGTGAATCACCTGTGATCATGATATCAAAAATTATACAAAGTATGAATTTGGTTACAATTTTCTTCTGAAATCCCCGTTTCTTTTCATTATTTCCATAGCACCCTAAAAATACACAGGTGGCAGGACTAGTACACTGAAGCTAAATAGTACATGTAGGTAAAATAAAAACAAAACAAAAATTCCTTTCCACACAGGGTCAGAGTATATTACATGAGTGAGACGAACGTGGAGAACTCACAAACGCTAACAAACAGGATCTAGTTTTTCCACGTAAGATGGAATTCCAAGCCTTTTTTTTTTGTTTTGTTTCGTAAAATAAAAACAATACACATTCCGAGAGAAATGAATGCATCTGTTGACATGTCTCTATTTCTCATTTACATATGTACACACGTCCCTTGAGTCACTGCTGCTGACACTGCCCTGTCTGGACGGGTCAGGCCCGAGGCCCGTTGGGAGCAGACCTATAGCTCTCTGGGGGGTTAGGGCTCCGTTAGGGAGAAAGTATTAGCAGTTTCTTAAAAAATAAAATGGCTACAGGGAACATGATACATGGATAAAGCTTCAAACCAAGAAGACAGGGCGACTGCCTGGACTCGGCCCCTCCCGCCTGCCCACCGGCTCCCTGTCCCATCTCGAGGAGTGGCAGCAGAAACACACCTATGGGCTGGGTTGATGCTTGCCGTGGAAAAGTGGCTTGCTCGGGCCTTGTTCTTGCTGAGGTTACTATGGCTCCAAGGAGTCGTCCACAAGGATCAGGGAAGCATCTTTCCAGAGGCTCAGGACCACCTCTGCTTACGGATGTCGTCTTCACCTGCGTCTGTCACGACGGGGGCTTGCTCCTGCCTCAGATGCCCTTGTACCTCCCCCTCACACCCTGGCCTGGCCCCAAAATCACTCTGGAAGAGTATGTCCCCAGAGAACAGGCTTCAGGCACCACGGTTCAGAGCGCGCCGGAAGGAATGCTACTTGCTGGTGGAGGCTTGCTGGGGCCGGAACCCAGAAACCCAGCCTCAGGTGCCAAGCCCAGAGGTGGGTAGGGAGGGGCCCGGCTGCAGGGAGCTTCTAGACACTCTGCATGGAAAGCTGTGGATAGGTCTGTGAGCAGAGTCTGGGCACACCTGCTAAGAGCCAGTATGGACTCCAGGCCTTTCTGGGGCAAAGTATCAAGGCAGGAAGTAGGAACTCCTAAGGAAGGCATCTGTAAGTCTGTCCGGAGCTGAAATTCCAGATGGTCTGACATAGACCAGGCCACCTGCTAGGCCACAGGCACTAGGCAAGCAAGGGTGACCACACACTACCTGGTGCTGTCCTGTCCCCACCAGCCAACTGGGGGATGGCCCTCAACAGTGGGCTGCCTGGTCTTCCAACTCCCAGCACAGCCACCCATTCCGATCGTCCCTTCATCTGTACAAATAGCCCTGGTTCCTTTTTTTGTTTAAAAAAAAAAAAAAAAAAAGAAGAAGAAAAAAAAAGACTCCGTGTTTGTTACTGAGTCAAGGTATTTTAAAAACACCAGCAAAGGCTATAACCAGGTCATGAAAATGTTGAATATTATCAAAGACAATACTAAAATATTCACAAAGATATTTACAAAAGCGATTCTTAAAATAATTGATTTGCATACCGAACAACACGCTGTTTGAAAAAACCTCAACGACAATGGGGCAAAGGAAAAAAAGGGGCGGGGGCGGCAACGGCAGCTTTCCCACAGAAAACCTTGTGCCGTCTGGTACGGCCACTGGAAGTCAACGGCTGGGGCCACCTTTCCGGGAAAGTCCACGGAGTGTTGGGACCACCCACCACAGAGAGGGAGCCGGGGACAGCGGGATCGAGAGCACCCACAGGGGACAGGAAAGCAGGAAAGGGCCCAGGCAGCGGCAGGGAAGAGCGCAAAGAATTTACAGACAGGACCCAAGTGCTGGGACGAAGCCAGCATCACCCCAGGCCACGAGGCTTTGGGGGACACAGACGAGCTTGAAACAAAGCGGACGCAGGACAAGCTCCTTGGGAGACCTCAGAGAGCCAGATGGAGTGACGTGTGGCGGGAAGGCCAGGGGCTGCCTGGCTCGAGCAAGGAGTGTGGGGTGAGCTTTTGGTGGTGAAGGGGCGTGGCGGGCAGGGGAGTCTGGCAGCCAGGGGCAGCACAGGGACAGAGAGGCTGGACAGACAGATGCCCTGGACTCCCACACCTGTGCCCCCTGCCATTTGGGCGGACAGAGAACTAGGACACAGAGGGAAGTGGGTGTCCCATGGAACAGTCTTGGAGAGGTGGGGTGGGTGCAGGAGGGGAGACAGAACACACGGAGAGAAATGGTTTGCTTGCTGTCCAAGTGCAACGTTCCTTTTCTCCAGATGACTTCATAGTTTTGTTGCTGTTTAAAACCAGGGAGTGGCTTGGAGCTAAGTTACGAGTTGCTGCCCCTACTTGACTCCGGCTGGCGGCATCCCCCCACCCCCAACGGAGGGCATGATAATTTTGGTTGGGCACACATCTGTGCTCTCTCTGCCCCCTAGGCTGGTCTGGCCTGAAGGTGGCGGGACCATTGGGGGCGTCGTCCTGGCTCTGGGAAGCCCCGGCCCCTTTTCCACCAGGCCCCCAGCAGGAATGGCATACCCTCTGTCAAACACAGAATCTTGTCCTTTTTCTCTGCTTTTTGACAGCGTGTTTACAGGGTATCTTGGCTTAGAGGTCAGGGGTCAAGCCAATGACCCTTGGCCCCTGAGAGACGTTCTCTTTCCCAGAGGTTTGTGCTTTTTTGTGGTGGGTGGTGGTGGGCAGGCCGGTCTCACTACTGCCAATTGTCACTGCTCCTCCAAGGTTTGGGGCCCACCTGGGTCTGGGCGGACTTCTCTCAGGTCCCACAGTCACTCGAAGGAGGCTCTGGGCCAGGAAGCAGGGTTACAGTCTAGAAAATGGAAGAACCTTGGGGGCACTGGAAGGTCGCCTGAAATCCACACGCATGGAGGGCCTGGAAGCCGCCATCAGGGCGCGCCCTCTTCCCGGGCCAGTCCCCGTCAGGAGCGACGTCTTCGGGGCCTGCGCTGGGTGTGGGCCCAAGCCCAGGGCGTGCAGGTGGGCACAGGCTCCAGGCCCACCAGCCTTCCCGTGCCCTCCCCGCCCTGTGCCCAGAGGTGCAGCAGGGAGGCTCCCGCCCCCACCTATGGCTCCGGGCGAGGGGCGGTCTGAGGGCGCAGGCTCCCGGTGGGGAAGAGTGTGGGGACACGGGGCAGGAGGCAGAGTAGAGGGATGGCCCCGACGGAGGGGTGGCCTTCAGTTGTTCTCAAAGAGAGACAGGAGGTCATCGTTACTATTGCTTGGCAGGTCGGGGGGGTCCAGGTAGGAGAGGAGCTCGTCGGGATTTGTGAGTTCTGGAAGGAGCTGGAAAAGAAGAAGCATGAAGTCTGGATGAGGTGTTGGCTGAGACTGGCCCAGGGTGAGCAATGCGGGCACCCCGGCCTGGTGGCTTCCCTCCACCTGCCTGCTGGGTCCCAGCCACGGGGGAAGATAATGGTACGGAGAGCGGGCCTGCCGGCCGTCCCCAAACACACCCAGGCCACTGCACCTCATCTGGGCAGAGCCATGCTCATTCCAAGCCTAGGGGAGGGCGCCTGCAGCCCACCTGCTGAGCCCTGGGCTGGGCTGACCCTTCCCCAGGCACAGACTTGAGCCCCACAAGCTGGGGAGGCCACATGGCAGGTAGAGGGGCTTCCTCTTGACCAGAGTGTCCCTTTGCCCCTCTCCGACCCTGCTGTGAGGAGCTGCAGGTCACGTGGGCCTCCCGGCAGAAATAATGCAGCCTCACGTGTAAGCACAAAGAGGTAGGCTGGTGGGCAGGCCGGGTGGTCCCCGCAGCCCCCCACCCCTGGCCCTCTGGAGCGAGGGCTCTCGGCTCCTTGGGGAGCCTGTGGCTGGCCGGCAGCCATCCTTCCCGGCAGTCCCTGGCAGAGGCTGTAGACCGTCTCTAGCCTCTACAGAGATGTCTTTGGAGTTTTTCTGTCACATGGGGGAGCCCCAGGAATTTAAAAGATCTCCCCTGGCCTGGTCTGGGGAGGAGAGCTGGAGCAAGGACCTGAGATGGCTGCACAGTGAGTGACTCCTAACCATCACAAAAACTGTCTGATGCCATCGGGGCAGCTGGTGAAGGACAAGAGTGGCCTGCTCCTCTAGGAGTCCAGCACCGGGGTGTGGGCCGAGCACAGCCCCAGCTCCCGTGCGGGGTCAGGAGGCTGGTGCTCAGTCCCGCCTGGCCAGGCCTGTCAAGCTGTTCTGTGCCCCCGCACCTTCCGGTCAGGCTGCAAGGTGGGAGACCCTGAACCTCAGCCACTCACTCTGGCTTGCTGTCCCCAACCGTGACCCAAGGCTGAACCTCCTGCCCCTTACCCTGTCACCCACACGGGGGCCCCTTGAAGTGAGCAATGGAGCAAGCAGAAGCAGGGCATGGACGACACGTGGACAAGAAAACCGGAGACAGACAAACACCAGCAAGCTCCAGCCCCTCCCCTGCCTATGGCTAGAGAACGTGGCGGACACAGAAACAGCGAGCTGAACACAGGGGGCGGGGAGAGAAGGGCAGGGACCCTCTTGTGCTGCCCTGAGGACCCTACAGAGGCCTGGGTGGGAGGTGGGGCACGACTAGGGTGTAGAGCTGTGGCCACAGGGACTGAAGTGGCAAGGGCTGGCGGGGCAGAGGAAGGGGCTGGCGGGGCGGGGGCCCTCAGTGACACTTCCCCACCGTGGGGCTTCCTGGTCTGGAGCTGGGAGACTGGCTCGGGCCCACCCATCACCCACCCACCCCCCTTGAGCCCTCAACACCCACCCCTTCTCTTGGGCAGGTCCCAGCGCCAGGCCTAGCCCCAGGCCAAGGCAAGTGGTGACCCCGACTTACATCCAGCGAAGGCTCCGGCATGTCGGACGCTCCCTGCGCTCCGGCCTGACCCTCTAAGGCTGAGGAGGGGTTAAAGGTCAGGTCGCTGTGTGGATGGCTGCTGGGAGCGGCCTGTGGCGGCTGCCGGGGAGGCTGGGAAGGAGGAGGAGGAGGAGGAGCCCCACTGTGATGTAATGGAGGCCCTGACTGGCTGCTGGGGTGTGGTACGTGCAAACCTTGTATGGAGGGATGGGGCTGGTCAGAACTGCCAGCGTGTGGCATCTGTGGAGGAGGAGAGAGCGGGAGAAAAGAAAGGTGAGGTGACCAGGTACAGCGACGAGATGCCTGAAGAAAATGAAACCAACAAACCAGGGAAGTAACAACCCCCACAACAAAGCCACCCCTGTCCAAAGCTGGATGCTTTTGTTGGGCAGAGAAACAAAAAAATGTGGCCCCCAAAACCACCCATCAGGGAGGCTATGGGGGGGGAAGGGGACCTCTCAGGCCGCATGGGGACGGAGGGAAGTGGGGAGGGCTTTGAGGCAGGCGGAGAGCCGGGCCCAGGCCCCCCCCACCCCGGCCCTCGCCTCCCTGCCCGGACACCGTCACCACAACGAACAACAGGGAGGGCAGGATGGAGAAGCAAAATGGGCATGTTTCTGGGAGCAGGGAGGCGGGAGGTGCTGCCACAGCATGGTGCAGGGCCCCGCGGGCTGGGCAGTGGAGAGCAGACGCGGACAGACAGCATCGCGCAGGCGTGCGGCGCAGGACTGGTCTGCACCCCCCACGTGGGCCCCGGGGAGGGGCAACGCTGGGCACGAAGGTCTGCCTCCGTGTGGGACTCAGCTGCCGCCAGAGGAGTGGAGCGGAGCAGGGCAGGCACCTGGGTGACCATGGGCAGCCCTGTGCACTGCCAGGCCCTTCCACCTGGCCGCCTCGCCCTGTCAGCACCAGCCCTCGGGGGTGCTGAGGGAGGCAGGCACCTCCAGGCCCCCAGGGACAAAGGGAAGTCTGTGCAACGGTTCACCAAGCCGGGAGACCTTCCCGAGGTGGGGCTGGCAGTGCTAACCGATACCCTAGAGGGTTGGCACTCTTCTATATGCATGTGCATTGGCGACTGGGCTGTCTGTGGGTGGGGGGGGTGAGGGAGATTCCAACACTGCCCTGCTAGTCCGTTTGCTGTCCCAAGCATGCCCTTCCTCCAGAATGAAACGCCAAGCCCAAGCCCTGTCCCCGCTCTGAGCATCCCAGCAGACCCCAGCCCCACTCACACTCTGCAGTGAGGGGGCTCACGGAAGCTCCAGGTGCTTGGCTGGAACAGGCAGGCTGCTCGCCGATGTTCCCCGGTCTTTTACCGATAATCCCCCACACCCCTGCCCCAACTCCGGGACCACACAAAACAGTGACACATTCTTCCTTTGTGAGTTTGGAATCAGCAGCCATCCCACCCCTGGTCTTCCCCAGACCCCAGCTCCTCTTCCTGTTCCTCCTAGAACTGCTCCCTGAGCCTTGCTACAGGCCGGCCTCTGTCCATGATGCGGGCGCCCCTTCTTCTCAGGGTGCAGGCCCCCCATGTGGCCCAGGAGGCACAGTGTCCTTCCAGCGCAGGCCCTAAGACCTTGGGGTAACTGCACGACCATGGGCTTTGGCTCCTTGGGAACCCGAGTGTGGGATATACAGGAGAAAGAGGCTGGAAAAACGGGACACCACAGCTGCCGGTGAAAGGCCAACTGTGGTCCCCACGCCTGTGGACGCCCTGCAGTGCCCATCCTGGGGGAGTCTGTGAGCAGCCCAGCTCAGGACAGACAGTCCCTGGGTCTTCTGACAAGGCTGTCTCCCTCGGTCCTGCTGAGTGCACGGGAGAGTTCTGGGTGCACTGGCAGCCGGTTGGAACACTCCGGCCAGTCCCTGCATGCCTGCGTCTCTCCCAGCTGCGTGCTCAGGCAGGGGTGTGGCTGCCTCTGGCTGGGCAGGTGTGTCGGGAGTTTACCCGGGACTGCCCCAGCCTACCTCACACAGCTGTATTCCAGGTCCGGGTGCCCTCTAGTAAGAGCTTGGAGATAGGAAGGACAGGACCTTCTAAGGAGCACCTTGGGGGCTCTGAGGTCAACTCACAGGCTCGGGTTCCTCTGCACAGAGCGCAGGTGGCAGGGCTCACAGGAGGCAGGAGCAAGCCTGCTCGGTAAGGGGAAGTCTACCGAATTCCTGCCGCCACTTCCCGGCATTAGGAATTGTGAAGGCTCCGGATATGTGGAGTGCGTGTGTTGGGGTGTGACTGGGGTGTCTCGTGGGCATGGAATGCCCTCAGAGGGGACAAAGGGGACCAAGACAGAAGCCCCAGAAGTCAGAGCCCTGCAGGGCGGACAGTAACTGTCAAAAACATGGCTAAAGCTCGACAAAGCAGCTATTTCCGATTTGGGGTCCCGGGGAGAGCCACGCAGTGCTTCTTCCTTCTCCCAGAATTCTTTTGGTTAATTTCACTCCCACTAAGAATTAAGGGTGGCTCTGGCCTGGCTCAGCGGCCAGTGGCAAAGCCGGTTCCGTGTGAGGCGTGTGGAACACAGTACAATGCAGAAGTCCCTTCTTCCTCCCAGGCCACGTGAAGGACGATGAGGGGCCTGGAGCGGTGCCTTCCGGCACGGGCCCACCCACCTCTGCTGCCAGGCACTGGCGAGGCCCCTGGGCTCTCTCCTGGGCTGGTGTGGCCCAGGCCCTGCCCGCCAGGTCCTCAGCAACTGCCCCTCCTCCTGCTAAGGCGAGAAACCAGGATGACTGAGGCCTCAGACAAGCCCTTGGGCCTCAGTTTCCCCCAAACCTCAACTGTTCTTCCTCCACCCAGGCATTGCCAGAAGTTTTGCTCCATTAGCACTTGGCCCCTGTCTGTCTTGCTCACACCTTGTCACCAGGCCTGGCCCAGGGCACGACTCAGAAAACGGTTGTTAAATTGAGTGGGCTCATCCAGCACTCACTAGATGAGGACTCCGGAGGACAGGAGGCCTCCTACCCCTGCCGCCGGGGCCACCGGAAGGGAAGGCCTGCGGACAGCACAGAAGGAGCTTTCTCAGCAACACGGGAATTATGGGTCAATAAATGCCAAACAGGACAAGAACTGAATACCCTGAGGATAATTAGAGTTCCCGGCATTTCTTTTTGCAGGAGGTGGTAACACCTTGAACATTCAGATTCTCGGGGCACAGGTGCTCGAGTTCAGGACAAAAGTGGAACCATGTTAAGTCAGTGTAAGAGTGTGTTACGTGGGGTGGGGGGAGAGAGAGAGAGGGTGGTCCGTGCACGCATATGTGTGCGTGTGTACGTAGAGTGAGAGTGTGTGTTCCGGAAGGAGCCTGAAGCCTCCCCGTGTGCAGAGAATCCGAAGTCCTGGGAGAAACAGCCAAATCCAAGGACACCGATGGGCCATAACTCAGCTTCAGTCAGGCCTCTTACCCCCCTCTGAGCCCCTGACCCAATTCTTGGTCCTCCCCTTTGCCTAGGAGGGAACCAGGGAATCTACATCCCACCGGGAGCCTTCTGCCCCTGTCAGCCCCCCAGGGCAGGGAGTGGGCCAGGGGGGTGGAGGTACTCACAGTTTCCTGCATGGGGTGACTGAGGGGCTTCTCGAGGGCGGCCATGTTGTTGGGCATGTCCGGGGGGTGGGAGAGCTGGGGGGGCCCGTGCATGAAGTCATTCATGGATGTCCCTCCGGGGTTCCCGTGGGGGAAGTCAAAGTTGCCATGGCCTTGGTAGTTGTTGCCTGGGAAGGGAACAAGATGGGAAAGGGGGTCACCCAGAGGGAAGGTGGTCACCCCATGGGAACAGGGAGTGTGTAAAACTATCAGCCAAGTCCTTTTCCTCCCAAGAGGCTGAGTCAGCTCCCACACCTTACACTTCCAGGGTGTACACGGGAGCAGCCATGTGGCCTTGCTCCGTGGGCTCTGGCATCCCATCCCAGGGCATGTGCCGCTCTCGTTGCTATGGAGGAGGGACAGAGTGGGAGGAAGGGGGTGGGCCAGGCTCCTGTGGGGCTGGTGAGGACACAGAAGGAGGCCCAAGCCTGAACCTGAAACAAGATCTGCTGAGTGGGTCCCCCCATGGCCACAGCAGGTGGTCAGGTTCTGCGAAGTCCACAAGAAAGCTGTGCCAGACTCAAGGTGACACCATCAGAAGCCAGCTGTCTGGCCTCGCTGGGCACTGTGCCCACCACCATGTGGCAGTGGCGAGACTCAGAAGATCGGAATGCAGGGGGGCTGGGCCCCTCAGCACGCTGTAGAGGTCTGGCTAGGTGGGCTAACCTCTCTGGGCCTGTCTTCACCCAGGAGCACTGGGGACCTGAGATCAGGGATCCCGGTGTGGGAGCTGCCACCTTCTGTATCTGAGGGTAAGGTATGTTCCAGGAACCAAGTGTCAGAAGGGGTGAAGCTTGGTCTGGGCAGCAGGGAGCCTAAGAGCCAGTGACGGTGACCTTGGTGGCCAAAGGCTAGGGCTCCAGGAGCCTGGACTCTGTCCCTGGGAGGGTGGGAAGGTTGCAGGGATAGGGCTGAGTTTTGTCCCTTCTGGAAAGTTACAGATACGGATGGTACAGAAAAATACAGGGGGCCGGGGGGAGACAGGAACTCCAGGTGGTGTGTTCTATCAGCAGCCCCAACGCAAGCTGCCTGGGGAGGTGGTGGCAGCTGTACGACCAGCAAAGCAGGCTCTGAAGCCCTGGGCAAGGGCCAATCTTAAGTCCGGTCATCTGGGAATTTTTTTGGGGGGTGTGTCACCTCTGCCTCTTCCACCACACCCTCTGCCATGCCTGCCACCACCAGCACAGAAATCCTGTGCCCCTGCTGAGACTCGGGGCTGCCCTCCTTCTCCCCTATCCCTGTCCGGCATCACCCACCTTGGCTGCTGTAGTCGCTGGAGTTGGTACCCCCGGGTGGAGGCGGGAGCGGGTAGGGGGATGGGCCAGGGCCCAGGGCCGCAATCATCTCCATGACGTTGGGCATGATCATCTGGCTGGGACTCATGGTCTTGAAGCGCTTGGAGGGGATGCCGTCAGGGTCATCCTTGATGTGTAGGTCTGACTTGATGGGCACCGGCCGCCAGCTGCATGTGGGGTCAATGGTGACCTCTTCAAACTCGGAGCTGCGGGGAGCAACGGGGGCAGAGCTGAGGCTCTGGGGTGCCATGCTTTGGACACAAAAAGACAAGGAGGCATCCTTGCCAGGGCGCCCCGCTCCCACTCTCCCCGCACTGTGCACAAGACAGAGCCTGGTGGGGACACTCCCATCTCTGTTTGGGAGATGGGGAGTTGGAGAGTGGAAAAAGCAAGTGGCTGGCACAGGGCGGCTGGCCTCCAGGCCTCCCAACTGGGGAGCGGCTGTAGGGGCACTGTCGGCTTCTTGCTTGGGCTGAGTTTTGTCCCATCTGCAAAGTTCATTTGCCCCAGCTCCAGAGGCCCCTGAGGCCAAGTGACAGAGAGGTGAGGGATGTGGGTCAGTGGTCTGCCGGTGGGGCGGGGGGCTGTGTCAGGGCTGTCCACAGACTCATCTTTCTCCAATCCCATTCTCGCACCCTGTCCCACCCGCCCCTGGCCACCCTGGCCAGGGCCCCACTTACTGTTGGATGGCATTCAGGATGCCCCACATGTACTGATCCACCTCCAGGCCCTCAAGCAGAGCAGTTTTACTGGAAAAGGAGAGCGAGGGCTTGACCTTTGCTCTTGGACCCGATGACGAAGGGGCACAGCCCACCCTCCCAGCTGGGTCCAGATCCTGCCCCTGTGACAGCTTGTAATTTGAGCCCCTCTGCTGTGTTTGGGTTCTGTTTTGCTTTTAGGGCAGGTGGAGGTGGCTGGAGCCCCAAGAACAGGGCCAGAGGGAGGCCAAAGGAGCTCTGCCCCTTTGCTGTGTGTAGGGGGGTGTCACTCACTTGCACACAGGACACCTCCAGGTCCCTCGCTCGCAATTTAGCTGCAGGTACGACTCCAGGTCAAAGCACTGCAGAGGCCACAGACAGGCAGACAGGAGAGACCAGAACTGTCAGAAACCATGTAGCTGTGCCTCGGGGTCTCCCAGGAAGATGTCCCCACCAGGGAGGGTGACAGGTGGTGGGAGAGACCCAGGGCTGGGGCTTAGGTGCAGTGAAAGGCATGCCACCTTCCTGCCCCACCAAGTCCCCAGTACCTCTGCCCCAGCATCCCTCACACCGCTCCCATCCCGAGCAACCCTGCACCTACATCCTCCGAGCCTTCCCGTACCCCCACTGCTTTTGCCGCATGACAGCCCTTCCCACTGAGGCCAGGGCAGCATGGACCTGGCCACCCCTTCAGCCCAGGGACCGAGAGCAAATCTGGGCAAGTTCATCCATCTGTGTCGGACAAATAATGTGACCAGACCACCCATGACACCCACAACTTTCTTCTGGAGGGAGGAGGCTCCCGTCCCACCACGAAGCCCTCAGGACCCGCTGAGGGCGACGGCCCTGGGCCCCTCTGCAGCCCACACCCAGGTCTTGCAGGGAGAGCTCCTCACGCCTCCCCCAGCCTGGGCTGCCCACACTTTGCACAGGGCTGCCACAGGCTGCTCAGACTGGGACGATCGCTCACGCCACAGCCACTTACTGGGTGCCTGCTCGGGCCAAGGCCCTGAACACAGCTGTGACCCAGGCAGAGGAATCCCTGATCTCAGGCCCGGTAATAGCCACAGCCATATGTGCGAGACTTCCAGCTGGCACCTGCCATTCTGCCAGCACAGGGACTGTCCACACCTACTTCCGCAGCCCCCCAGCCCAGCCTGAGCACACAGAGAAGATGCTCCAAGGATAAACGACGGCTGAAATGAGTGAGTGAAGTCAGCTGCCAACTGCCATGATGCCCTTCGGGACAATGTTTCGGCAGGCCCTGTCGTCCCCTCTGCCTACCCCTGGCCATCCAGCCAGAGTCCAGGTGGCTCGCCCTGGAGCTGGGCTTCCCGGGGCCGCTCACCTGGACGTGCTTGCAGTCGTGGCCTCGAGCAGGCAGCTGGATGCGCCGGAATGTGATGGGGCACTTCAGAGACACCTTGATGGCCGTCTGCTCCACGCCGTCCTCCCCGTTGAGGGTCGTGTTGCCTGACGAGGCAGCCACACTGCTGAAATTCCGCTTGACTGCGGGGCGGGAGGCGCAGGCGGGTGAGGAGGGCCGGGCAGTAGAACTTCGAGGGGGCAGGTCTGCACCGCTCCCCACCCGCTCCCGGCTGAAGCCTGCCCTGCTTCTCCCCAGCCCCACCATAGAGAAGGTCCAAAGCGGAGCAGTCAGACCACTGGGTGCCCCGGGCCGCCCCGCACTCTGGAAGGGCAGCCTCCCCGTGCTACACATGTAGCACCCAAGGAGGTGGCTGTGGCAGGTCCCCCATCTCTGCAGAACGGGCCCTGCCTTTATCAGGACTTTCTGCGAAGCTCGAGGACACCCAGCCTGGCACTTTCCTGCTTTACTGGGTCAGTGACAAGCTCCCCCGGGCGCTTTTGCGCTGAATTCTGCAAGCGTGGAAACAGACACAGACAACTGCCAGGTGGAATTTTAGAGCTTGAGGAGCCGCTGTGAAGAAGCAGATGCTAAGAGAGGGGCAGTTGCACGCCTCCCCGCACAGAGGCCCCGCGTCAGCACCCTGGGCGTCTCCTCCAAAGAAGCGGACTCTAAGCCAGGTCCCTCCTGAGTTCAAGGATAAGCTGTTGAGGTGGGGAGGCCAATCTGGCATCCACCCCCTGCCCTGTGCCTCCTGCCTGGTGGAGATCCTTCTCCAAATCCTCCCATCCTTCAAGGCCTGGCCCAGGCCACCACCTCCAGGAAGCCTGCCTAGACTGTCCTAACCATAGCGTTTTGCTTCAACCTTCCTCATGTCCTGTGCCGTTTTTGTAGGTGCATCTGTCCTGTCTCCCAGGCTGGGCAGCCAGCTGCCCTGTACAGGCCGGGTCCCAGAATTCCTGCTGGGCCTTGCAGCCCCTGGCTCATCTGATCAGCACCACAGCCCCAGGAGGAGGGCATGGGTCTGAGCTGGGGACTGGCGCTCAGGAACACCCAGAGCCCAGTAGCGACGTGCACGGAGCCAGAGGTCAGTACCAGGTAAAAAGTGACTATTTTTCAGCCCCAAACTCGGGCGGGGCTGGGGTCTGGCTCTCACTCCCTGTCCCAACCCCGACTTACTTTTCGTGATACAGTGCTCCGCGGGCAGGAGGCGCTTCTTGAGGAGGCCTTGCAGCACGGAGCGGACGGAGGGCCGGTGCACCAGCTGCAGCACGAAGAGGTGGGACTGCGGAGAGGGAGCAGACGCTCAGTTCCCACTCGCTGTCCCCACGCCCCACCCCGCCTGCAGCCCCTGCAGCCCTAGGCCACCCCCAGGCCCGAAGAACCCCACAATCCCACAGTGACACCACCTAGGACCTGTCAGAAATAGACTTAGGGGCCCAGGATACATCCTGGGAACTGCGAGCCCAGGCACCCAGGCTGCGGTCACCACTCTTGGAAAGCTGCCTCCACTCTAGCCAGCAAGGTGGACTGATGCTGACACTCCCCCTGGAAGAGGTTATGGGACACGCAGCACAGGACTGGTGGCCGCCCGCCTTGCTGTCTAGACTCCCCTACCACTGCTTTCCAGCATGCGACCTTGGCCCTTCCTGCCAGAGGCTCATCCTCGTCTTCACTCCTCCAGGAAGCCTTCCAGGATTGCACACCCCAGCCACCCCACACCAGCCCCCTGACAGCTGTGCAGCCTCACACAGCACCGCTGTTCCTGTGACTCCTATCTCTGCGTGGCCTCAGAGCCCCATGCTCAAAAGAACAGGATCAGAGGGGTTCCTTCTCCATGTCCCCCAGGGAGGTCAGCAGAGCGGGCGGGCAGTTAACTTCCAGGCAAGTGCCTTGAGCCCAGCCTGTGTGCTGGGCTCTGATCTCTGGGGTACACGAGGGTGGCTGAGAGGTGGTCCCAGATCAACATGTCATGGGTTGGAGGGACACACGCACACGACTTTGGCACAATAGGTTTGGGGAAGGAGGGAGGGAACTGACCGTGGGTTTGGTAGAGTTGGGTCTGAGGAAAAGGTGAGAATATGACAATTTCTGGCGAACGGGGTTAGAGCAGAACATAGCTTGGAGGGACACACAGAACTTCACCGATGGGGTGCAGGGGAGAAGCTGGCCCTACAGGGGTGAGGTGGAGGTGTGTGCAGAGAACGGGTGGGGTCTGAGTGTACAAGGGAAAAGGGCCACGTCTGAAGCCAGGGCACGGTGGCTCTGAAGGCGCACCGAGTGTGACGCTTATTCCACGGCCCTGGGTGGTGAGCGGGGCACTGCAAGCCTGTGCAGTTGTGTTTCTGGACGATCACTTGGCAGCTACGGGGAGGGGGACAACACCCAAGGACAAGGCTGAGGACCACAGCGGGTCGAGCGTCCGTGCTGCCTGTGCCCCCACAGCCCCAGGCCCGCCCGCCACACTCACGCAGCAGCAGGCCGTGACGGTGATCTGGATGGTGTTGCGGCCCGGCTGGCACACGTGCTTGAGGTGCAGGGGCTTGTGGGACGTCTTGTTGTCACCGCGCTCGATGGTGAGGGGCGTGGCGTTGACGCTGACCTGCACCGAGGCCGGCCAGTTGGTGTTCATCTGCCGGTCCTCGTGGTGGTAGCACTTGAACTGCAGCTCCAGGTCAGACCTGGGGTGAGGGAGGGCGGGTGGCTCAGGGCAGCTCTGCTGGGGGCTGTCTGTGGCCTCTGTGACCCCGAGCCAGGCTGCACACCTCTACACGCACCACAGCCCGAGATCCCCAGGACCCCATCCCCGGCACAATGGCTCCCCCAGGCTCACGGAGTTCTGGTCTCTCACCCCAGCTATTCCTTCCTCCGCATCTCCGGTCAGAACCCACCCGGCACCCAACCTGCCCCCAGGCCTCCCCTGGGCCTTCACTCCTGCCACACCCCACGCTCTGGTTGCAACCTCCCCAGTTTCCCCAGGACAGAGGGATGGAAGAACAGACACCAATTTGACCAGACTGGCTGCGAGGCTGATTATGCCCGTCTCCAGAACTGTTGGAAGCAGCCCTCCCGGGCCAGGGCCATTTCTGGTTTAGCCCACCCCCAAGGTGGTCCCCGAGGACACAGCGCTGAAGGAGTGGCAGGAACCAGCAGTGAGCACGTAGGCGTGACAACCAAGCAGGGAGCAGGGGCCTCCCAGGCAGGGCCACTCCCAGGTAGGGAGTGTGGGTGAGCAGGGGCCCAGCCCAGGCAGGCTGCACAGCGGGCTGTCCTGTGCCGGAAGACTGCCCTCTCCGGCCCGAGTGGCCGGGCTCTGTGTCCTAAGTGCCCATGCCAGCTCTCTCTCTGGCTGCCTCACTGCCGTCTCTGCAGTGTGGCTGAGATGATGGCAAGGGGTGTGTGTGTACGTGCCCAGTGCAGAGAAGCATCTCTTGCCCTCCAGATGCTCACTGGGCAGCGAGGGGGCCCTAGTCTCAGGCACAGTGACACACTGTGAGCCTTGCCTGAGGACAAAGGACCCAGAGGTGGAGAAACCCATGGGTTGGTTCTGGCATCCAGGAGACCTGGGCTCAAGTCTCAGCTTTGCGAACTCACACAAACTAATCCACTTCTCTGGCCTCAGTTTCCTCATCTGTCAAAAAGGAAGGCATTGTGCACTCCCAAGATGCAAGCAGGTCACATGTGGAGGCCCTGAGCACAGGCCTGGCCCAGCAGGGCACCTCCAGGCCCTGCGCCCCCGCATGTGCCCACGTGTCTAGCAGTAGCCAGCCCGGTGCCCAGCCCTGTGCAGCCTGGCGCAGGCCTGCCACCCTCGCCGGACTCTCCACTCTACGTTCCCGGCTCCTGCCATGTGAGTCACACTCAAATGCTTGACTGCTGTTCCCTCCTGCCAACTCGGGGCCTCAGCTGGGACACCCTTCTTCTCAGCCTTTAGGTCTGACCTGGCCAGCTTTCCCTCTGGGGTCAGTGACAGCTGCCCCCTGCCCATGGGCCAAGATGCCTCGGCTGTCCACCCCACATGCCTACGGACTCCCCGTGACATCCCCAGGGCCTCGCACAGGGGTGGGCCCGGTCAATGATGTGGAACAGGCGAAGGTGATAGAAAGAAGCCGGTCATCCCAGGGGCCCCTGACACGCACCTCCACATCAGCGTCTGGTGGACCGTGGGACGCAGGTGAAACACGTGGTTGCTGACAGCCAGGTTGTGCTCCAGGCGGAAGGGCTCCAGCACCACGCCATCCCGCACGGGGAACGTGAGCCGCAGCTCGTCGTTGTGGTTGGCTAGGGTGGGACAGGAGGCAGGTGAGCCACAAGCCCCCCGGCACACAGGCGCACAGGACTCCAGGGCCATGGGTGGGACTCGCTCACCCGGGGCTGAACACCCAGAGGAGGCAGCGCGTGTAGATGGGGGCAGAGAGGCTGGGAAGTACCCAACACATACCAGCGAGCCACGTCTTTATCCCGGCCACCTGGCCCACCCCAGCCATACATCCCCTCTGCTCCCACCTGCCTCCCTGCTCCAGAAGCCCAACCTGTTCCTCCCATAGCAGAGGGCGGCCCAGCCGCCACCTCAAACATCCCTCTGGGTGGGGCCTACCTGCTCTCAAGCCCTCTGCCCTTTCTGCAAGCGCCCCCAACTGGAGGGCCCCCAGGTGGAGCTGCCTGACAAGGTGGGGGCGGAAGTGGGGCCCTCACCTGGGGGTGGTGGCAGAGCACTCATATTTGGCTTGATGTCAGGTGGGAAGGGTGGTTTGACGTCTTGGCTGGGGGACAAATAGGGAGGGATGCTGCTCCCGGGGGTCATGGGGGGCGTGGGGTTCCCTGGAACAGGTGAGTGGGGATAATTTGCCACAGGAACCGGCCTGGGAGGCTGGAGGGAGAGAGAAACCACACAAAGGTTATGGGGACACGGGGACAGAAGGGGTCGTGGTTGTGGACACACACCTCGTTCACCCCAGGGTCCCAGGGCCACGCCCCTCCTGCCGAGGGAGGAGAGCCTCCCCCAGGGAAACCCTCCCTACCCTTCATCTGGTCTCACACCTACTGAGCTCCTCCAGTGCTAGGTGGACACAGACCCCCCCACCCACGTGACCAATGCGGACACTGAGGCTCAGGTGAGGGACTTGTCTTACAGAACCCTGGGAGAGGAGGTCTGCTGTCTGCTGGCAGGCGTCCCCACGTCAGGACTCTAGGCCACACCCTGCACGCCCACCCACCCCTCCAGGGCCCCCAGATGGAGTCGGGCCTGCAGAATCCCAGGCCCAGATTCCCCAGGCGCTCCTCCCTCTCCCTTGGTCCTCGCCTTGTTTTCTTTCAGGACTGGCACGGACCACACTTGTCCCCGCTTTACCCACCCGGAGCTGTGGAGTCTCAGTCCTAGGCATCTCTGTGCCCCTGAACAGATGACCAGGAAGTATTCCCCAACCCGTGGACCCCTCCTAACGTCCAGAGAGGTCAGGGCAGGAACAGTAAAAACCCTTAGACACAATTGCCTGTGGCTGAGAATTTTCAAAATTAAAATGGAACATACCCTATTGACATTCCCTTGGCTGTAGTTACTGTAGCTGCTTCCCGAGAAGGTGTTATTTTGTCCATTAAACTGTTCTGGCTGTGAAAACAAGACAGACGATGCTATAGTGGGAGGCAGGAAAGCTATCAGGGGCCCACTCTCCCTCCTGGTGTTACGCTGGCCAGGAGCACAGGGCCTGCGGCAGACACCATGCAGTGCAGGGGAATGAGGGGGCAGGCCAGGCCTCCCCTCGGGGACAGCGTTTTGCCTCTCTCTGTCCACAGCCATGAACTTAGCAACAGAGTTTACAAAAACAGCAATACCTAGTATGCTGAAGTTGGAGCAAAAATGGCAAACCCATACGGAGGATGGTCATGTAAGTTAGCATGGTTCTTTGGCAAATAAATGTAAAATAGCGAAGCGTCTTCTTCACTCCTGAGAATGTATTTTATAATAATTCTGAAGAAGAACAAGGCTATATTCTTGAAGATATTCATCACAATGTTACTAAAGAAGTGAAAAATCAGAAGCAACCCAGATGTCTAACGGAGAGGCAATAATGAAATATGATACGGTTATTTTGGTGGAACATTAGGCAGCCATTAAAAGTGAAAACTATAGACTCTGTAGCAATAAATAACATGTTTGTGATTTCATGTTAAGTAACAGATGCAAAACCACAGCTGTAGTAACAACCTTACGACGTGCTGGCACCCAGCCGCATGTAGGGAGACAAAGTTTCGAATGCAATGTTAATGTATCCAGGGTGTGTGATTTTTGTTTCAAAAAAAAATGAATTTTCTTTATCACCTTGCGAATGCCACAAATAAGAAGAGGAGAAAGAAACCCATCATCCAAGCCCCGTGAGAATAGTGACCAAGAAAAGCCAGTCTGACTTTCTGGCCATGCAACTCAGCTCTGAGCACATGGGGGCATCCAGAAACCTCCACCTACCCCTCGGTGTCTTCAGGGGGGTTAGCAATGTGAGGTGTAGGGAGGGAAGGGGTGAGGCTTGGGGTGGCGCGGGTGCCCGGTGGTGGGACTCACCTTGTAATACTGCCCCATGTTGACCGTGGGGGGCGGGTACTGCCCCGTGCTGGGCTGGCTTGGCATCCTTTGCCCCGGGTAGTTGGGAGAGGTGAGCGGCCTCGGGGGGTTGGGGGTGGGGTACTGGCCTGGCTGGGTGGGGAACTGGCTGTTTGGTCCATATTGCTGGTTTCCATAGTTGGGCTGTGGTGGCAGAGAAAGGACAGGGGAAAGGTCACCAATGTCTCGTAGCCGAGACACTCACCTGAACACCAGGACTGCACCCACCTCCTCTGCTTGGCCTGGGCTACTGTCCACCCACAAGCCACCCTCCCCATCTGTAAAGGGGGAGCAGCCAGAGGAAATGATGCCTGAGGCCCCTTCTTGCCCTGATATGCAGGGACAGGGCATGCCGCCTGTCCGGCTCATGGGCCACCTCCCCAGAAAGCTGTTCTTCCTGGAGCACATGCGCTCTGAGCTCCAGGGACACTTTCATAGCGTCTGACCCAGGCTTAATTCTAAGCCCCTCTGTATCTCTGCTAGTGCTCGGTTCAGGGCTGTGTTACCCAGTGTGTGCCTAACGTGCTGCGGGAACACAGCCGACAGGCTATGCTTCCAGAAAGGTGACCCCTGTGCCCCTGCATGCTGAGGCTGAACATGGATGGCGTTCTTCCCGCGCCCCACACAGAGCAGAACACACACCTAGTGTTCCGTTTCAGGCCATCAACAACCTGCCGTCTGTGCAGGGGCCGAGAGCACCAGGTTGGTGCAGGGACAAGACAACTTCTCTCAGGAGGAGCAATTTAGAGAGAAGAGACGGTGCCACCCTCCAACCACCATTCCCTGTCTGAAAAATCAGGTGACCCTCAGGGCCACATGACATCCTGCGCATCAGTGGTTTCTTCTTCCCTGTCTGTTGAAACTCCCTGAGTGTCTCTCTTGCCCTCTAGGCGCAGAGGTCCCGTTAATCGCTGTGTCCCCATGCCTGGCAAAGTGCCCTCAATCAATACTTGCTCAACAAACGAAGGCCCTTGGGTAAACATCAAAGCGTGTCAGCGTGGAAGAACTCTCTATAGCTCATGCTGTTGCGACATGGTGGCGGCTCTGCGCGACACTGAGGCTCCCATCATGGGAGGTGTGTAAATGGCTGGTGCCTGCCCACCCACCAGGCTGAGAGCTGAATCCTCTATGGGGCCAGTGACCCAACTCCAGCTCCTGCCCTAAGGTTTCAACAATTCCAACACAGTGTAAGGGCCCCGGCGAGCGGAAGACCAGTCTTTCCATTCAGGGTCGGGCCTCACGGGCTGTGACTACCCCGTGTCACAGCCCAGTGCCAGTGATTTTGCAGCTGGGTGGCAGCAGCATTCTACAAAGAGATGACTAATGCAGTGAAGACACCGAGAGTCTCTGGCACGCTCTCTCGTGCATTGGTGCAGGTGCAGAGTGGCGCTAATGACCAGGGATTCCGCCGCAGCCCCCTGCACACCGCCTCCCCTGGTCTGGCAGCCCTGAGGCTGGGCTCACAGACGCAGCCCTAGCCCAGCCAGTGGGGACGCTGGGAGCTTGAGCACAGAGGAGGCTGAGAAGAGGCCCAGAAATTGTGTGGGGGCTGTGCCCTGGGAGTGAGGCCAGGAGCTCGAGGTCCCCTGAGGACAGGCAGGGCCTGGGAGCCAATGGTCCTTCTCTGGCCCCTCCCTGAACTGTTGCTGACCAGGCAGAGGGTCAGGCCTTGACCCAGCCTCCTGGACCCCGACCTCTCTCTCCCCTCTCGGACTTGGGACACCTCTGCCCGTTGCCAAACCACCCAGCCCGTGTTAGGGTGGATGCTGATGGGAATTGCACAAATCTTTTAGGAACTTAGAGTCTTTGGGATCGAACCCCACTGTAAGCCCAAGCTGAACACCACAGTCCTGAGACCAGACGGGAGGAGGAAACCTTCCCGAGAGTGGGCGTGCGAGCAGAGACCTGGGCGCCGTGCTCAGGGGGGTGCCGGGCAGTCAGGGCAGGCTCCGCAAGGGGTGTCTGCCGGCTCAGGATGCTGGGGCCCTGTGTCTTCTGCAGGTGAACTAACTCCTCACCTGGGTGCCCAGGGGGGCAGTTGTGCCACCTTGTTTCCAAGTGTTCCCTGGAGGCCCTGTGACATGCCCTCCCGGGCACCCGTGTTCTCTGAGCCACGCTGAGTCCCACACAACCTGCGTGCATCATTCCTTTGTGGGTCTCCACACAAACCTTTTCTTTCCTGCTAAGGTCTCAGTTCCCGGAGGGCAGGAGGTGTGGGTTTGACTTCCCTAAATCTTCCCCAACGCCGTGGCTGAGCCAGACGCAGTGCTCCTCCCGACAGAGCGACTGACCTTGGATGGAGACAAGCCCTCAGAAGCACACTGCCTGCCTGCCGATCGTCCCCGACACGCACCGCCGCTGTGCTCTGCAAGGGTTTGTCTCCGCTCTCACTCTTGGAGGGAGGGTGGGGAAGTCCTCGCGCGGGTGGGAGGAACTAAACCCACAGTCACCCCATTACTGTCTGAGCCAGGGCAGGGGAACAGCTGGAGCAGCTGCTGCTTGCCGAGTGGCTGCACAAGCCAGTCCAGGGTGAAGCACGTCACAGACATCCCCTCGCTCAGGTCCCCAAGCAGCCTGAAGAGGTGCCACGCCATTTATAAATGAAAAAATTAAGACTAGGGGAGGTGGCATGACTTGCTCAAGGTCTTCCAGTTGGAAAGTGGTAGAACCAGGTCTCGAACCCAGGAGCACCTGACTCCTAAGGTTCTGCCTCTTGGTCCAGGTGTTCTGAGGTCAAGCCCACCCCTTCCAAGGCACTGCCCACAGCCCCGTGTGTCCAAGCCCAGGCCTCCCACCCGCCCGCTGCCCCACTCACCTCTCCCGGGTATGGCCTCTTTATGCTCTGAATGGGGAGGGACTGGGGCCGGGGGCCCGGGTACGTCTGCTGGGGCATCCGCTGCCCATGCGTGCCAAAGGGGCTGATGCCGGGCGGCCGGGGCTGGTTCATGCCCATGGGAGGGCCGCTCATCCCCGAGGGCGTCATCCCAGCCGCCATGCTCGCGGGGTTCATGCTGCCCGCCATGGAGGCAGGCCCCCGCGGCCCGGGCTGGTTCATGAATTGGCTGTTATACGCCTGGGTGGGACCCATCTGGAAAGAGGAACAGACCTTCAACGGGAGAAGAAGAAAAAAAAAAAAAAGAATAAAATGCCACATGCATTGAAAGTGCAGGGAGGGCGTGGTGGGGAGGTGGGGGCTGGGGGAGGGGCGCTTTCCTGGGCGGCTGTGGCAGGTGCCCCACCAGGGCCCAAGGGAGCACTGTCCTCCAGGGCTCCCTGCTGCCCTCTGCAGGCCGCACAGGAAAGATGCAGCTGGGGGTGTCACGGGCTGGGTAGGGGGTGGGGTCACTCCAGTGCACAAGCAGCATTTCCGGGGAGGCAGGCAGGGCACAGGGAAGAGGGTGCAGGGGCGGGGAGGGGCATGGGAGGGTGAAGGTGGATGAGGATGGAGGCAGGAGCCCGAGTGAGGCTGAAGCCCCTTTTCTGGAAGCCCCCGCCCCGCCCTTGGTCCTGGCCAGTGGAGACACACCCTCCATCCACAAAGTCGGACTCAGCCCAGCTTCTACTTCTGCCCACTGCCCTGCAGTCCCCAGCCCCACGCCCCTGTCCTGCAGCCCTATGGGGGCTCCCCTCTCGCCCCCACCCAATCCTTCTGGAGGTCAGAGGAGCAGCACCGGGGCCCGGGCAGAACGCACAGATTGGGTGATGAGGAGGGCACTGGCCTCAGAGGCCACCCAGAAGACAGACTGGCCACAAGGCAATTTTGAGACACCCATCCCACTCCTGGGTGAGTAGGGGGCCAGAGAGCAATGTGGGACCCCCTTCCCGATATGCAGTCACACACGAGCCACCAACCCATGCAGAACAAACGAGTGCTCAAATACCACCTGCCACAGCCAACCACACTGACACAGCCATATTCTAACACACACCCCTCCACGTGTTTCCAAGAAAACCCAAATGCACCCCGCCAGCACCAGCTCCGCCAGCACCCCCAGCTCTGATTTCCTGGGGCTGCCTGCCTAGCTCAGCTGTGCTGGACCAGGACTAGTGGGGACCCTTACCGGTCCATACTGGTTTATATCCTTGTTCTGCGTCTCCTGCAAGGCTGCCACGGTGGCCGTGGCGGTGGCTGTGGCCGTGGCTGCTGCTGCTGCCACTGCTGCTGCTGCGGCGGCGGCCGCTGGCTGAGTGAAGTCAGCAGGCGGCCGGGTGTGCGGAGGGATACCCATGCCCGCAGGGGCATTAGGACCCCCAGGGTAACTGCAGGGAGAGAAGAGCGGAAGAGTTAGACACTGCCCGTATCTGCAGATCAACCCATGACAAGGCTTGGGCTGGGAGGGAGAAGATGGGGCTATGCCCAGAGGGGACATGGCCTGCTGGAGGTGGCAGCCATTTGGGCCACTTGGTGACTGCCAAGCCGCTGTGCTCCCGGAGCCCTCACTGTGTGCTGGGAGGTACTGCCCCTCACTGCGTGCTCTTGGGCCCCGGTGAGCCCATCCTCCGGAGGACACCGAGCCTCGGCCGCCTGCCCAAGGCCCTCTAGCAGTGACGGTGCAGCTGCGGGTGCAGCTCCAGGTGTGTCTGACACCTGTGTTTAACCACCAGGCTGTCTGCTCTGCCAACTCCAGGCCAGAAACCCGCTGTGGTCAGTCCCAGGAGCTGGCACGGGGCACGGCCAAAGTGGGGGTTTAGGACAGGGCTGCCGGCAAGAGGAGGGCAGGCGCCTCTGCCTGTCTGCGTCAGTCCCGCCTCAGGTCACCTCCCAAAGCTCCTTCCTGGGATTACCCGCCCCTCCCCTCCTGCCTCCTGAGCCCAGGGACTCCTGTCTCTGCACAGTTCTGCCCCAGCGGATCAGCAAGGCAGAGTGATTTCCCCGGCCTGCTTAACTGTCTCTAGACAACTGGACCCACCTACGGCTGCTCTTACCCTCATCCAGCTCTCAACGTCTTCCAATTTATTAAAGACGCGAGGCAGAGAAGGGTCATTTGGGGAGATGAGAACATCATCCTTCTACGCCTATGGGCCTGACAGCTGTCAGAACAGGCCCAGCTGCTGCGGCACCTGCAGGCCAGCCCCAAGAGCTGGGGATGACTGTGCGCCTTCGACGCATGGGACAACCGAGGACAAAACAGGTGACAGGGCTCGCCCACGGTTCTCAGGCCATGAAGCACGGGAGCTGGGATTTAAATGGGACCCACTCCTGGATGGAGGGAGAAGGGCAGGGCTGAAGGCTGCTGCCCGGGCCGGTCCCACTCACCTGGCCCCGAAGCCCCCGCTGCCGGGGTAGTTGGGCCGGCCGTACATGCTCTGCTGGATGTAGGGCTGGGCGGGGCCGGCCTTGGCCGAGAACTGCTGCTGCTGCCCGGCGAACTGCGGGGAGTTGAGGCCGGGGTTGCTGGTGGTCATGCCCGACGCCATGGGGTTGCCGCCTGGATTCATGGGGTTGTTGGCATTGGCCATAGGGTTCCCGAGAACCTGCGGGCAGAGAAAGTAGCTGTCACCCAAGCTGGTATCCAAGGGGACAAGGAGAGGAGAATGAGGGTGGCATTAGCCAGTCCATAGTGCGGGTGACTGGAAGGGGCAGGCCTGGGAAGCAGGCAGGGATGGGCACGAGAACCTTCCTTGTGACGGAGGGAGGTGAGGGCACAGGACCCAGGTTCCCAAAGCCAGCTCAAGTGCCCCCGGGGCCTGGGTAGCTGCAGCGAAGGGACGTGAGGCTGCTCCTGTGTGCGGTGGCAGGTGGGAAAGCACTGGGCTACTCAGCCTCCCAGCCCACAAAGGGGCCTGGGTGCCAGAGGGTCCGGCCGCCGGAGGCCCTGGGCTTCTGCTCTGTGAGGGCCAAAAGAAGCCCAACTTGCCGCTCTGGAGGGCAGCAGTGTCCCGGCCAAGAGGCTCTGGGGCCTGAGACTTCGAGTAAGCCCAACAGTTCCCTCCAGGGCAGCAACCAGCCCTGAGCCCCTGTGTGGCCACCGCTGAGGCTGGCAGAGGCTGGGCTGGTGGGAGACCCTCGGTGAGGGCAAAGGAAGACTGGAGGAAAGAGGGAGGAATGGGAGGGAGGCAGGCTTGACCAGGTGGCTGGCTGGGGGTCTGTCACAGGATTAAGGCACGACATTTTGCTGAAGTCTAACCCAGGCCATGCAGGGTCAAAGACTCAGACTTTGGAGCCCCGAGGCCAATAACACACAGGAAGTTTTCCTGTTTTTCCAACCACAGTCCACATGAACCAGGGAAGAAGCCCTTGCGGACTGTCCAATGAATGCCATTCCCCAAGAAAGGCCCTAGGATGGGGACAGGGGACAGAGGCTCAGTGCTGCCCTCCTGAGGTGGGTGTGGACCCTTTCTGGAGTGGAGACAAGTCTACGGCTGAGTGTGACCTGGAAGCCGGCCTTCCCAGCCGGGTGACCCGAGGGCCTCAGGGGTCAAGGGACACTCCTGTCAAGAAGGAGCTGTGGCTGGGGCAGGATAGGCTCTTACCTGGCTCTGGGATGTGTTGGTCACTCCCCAAACCGTGGTGACCACGGAGAGGGAGCCGGGAGGCTGGTTGGTGTTCTGCTGCCAAGGGACAGAGTCATAGGGGAACGACCCATCACTGTAGAGGGAGACAGAGGGGAGAGGCTCAGGGGCCGCGTCCACCACCCCACCACACTACTGCAGCTCCCAGCCAGGCCTGGACCCCTTGGCCTGCTGCGGTGCCTGATGCAGAACACGTGTGCCTGGCATGGTGACAGGCTGTGCAGAAGTGACCACCTCTCCCCATCACTGCAGGGAGCCAGCTCCACGGCCGTCTCACCTCAGCCCAAAGTCCACAGGCCACGCAAGGAGGAGGCGGTGGTGTGACCTGAGGCTCAGTCTAACCTCTTTCCCCCGGGCTCTGACTCCATGTGGAGGGGATCTCCACGCCACCTTCCCCTTGGAACTGCCCACTGAGGGCTTGGCTCTTCCCCCGCCGCCCCCCACTGCCTCCTGACCCCCCGTGGTGGGGGGCCGCTGAGCCCTGCCGTGACTTTGATGATGCAGTGTTTCCAGCATCACCCTTCCTTCCTTACCAACAGGACCCGCCTCCACTCGGCTCTATTGGGCACATCCCCGCCGGGCTAATCTCCCTCCAAGCCCTAAGACACTGGGCACAGTCAAAGACCTTCAGTGGCTTCCAGTGCTCACGAGGCAAAGTCCAAACCCCCACTTCAGAACAGTTTAGCCACTGTCCCCCCCTTCCCTGCTTTCCACTTCGGCTCTGTCCTCTCTCGGAGCTGCCCCCTGAACACTGCCTCCCCTCCGCCAACCGGTGCCACACCTTCCCCACCCCTCACTGGGCCAGGCAGTTCCCACCTTGCTTGGGGATGTCTCCCTGGGGAGCCCCCACACACCAGAAGCAAGGACTTAACCTCTGGCCCAACACACTGCCCTTGGCCTACAGTGGTGTCCAGCGATGCCTTCCTACTAACTGCCGTGGTGCAGGAGACTGGGTGCCAACGGATCCTGGCGAGAGGAGAAGGGCACGAGCTTGAGAGGGGCAGGCGGGCTCACGGCATGAAGCCCTGCCGGGATGCCAGCCCCCGAGAGTGCGGGGCTGAGGCTGCTTCTCCCCCTAGAGCCCGCACTGGCTCTCCGGCACTACCCCTTCATCGAGGGTCACCAAATCCCGGACGCAAACCCCAGGGAGAGCAGAAAAGCAAAGCACCCACACCTGCGGCACTGCCTACATCCACCCAGGGCATCCCACGGGGGGTGAGGCCTGCAGTGCAGCACTGCCAGTTGCCGCGGGTGTGTGTGCACTGGGGGAAGGGGATCTGGAGGAAGGCACCTCGTGTCTCTGGCTGGCTGGTGCCGGAGTCACAGCAGACAGCGGAAGACGAAGGCTCTTGTCTCACTCACACCTGGAGAACTTGTACCCGGGCCCATGGGCTGCTCCAGCACTAAGAATGCGAGTGGGGTGCAAAGAGCCCAGCCCACAGGCAAGGATGTCTGGGAGGGAGACGGAGTCCCGTGTGACCAGCAGGCAGAGAGCAGCCAGAGTGGTGGAGTCTGCAATCCTGCGCCTTGCTCGGCTGAGCCCTTGGCAATGTTGGTCATGTCGGACGGGCTCCTGCAGAGGTGACCAGCCTGGAGGGCAGGAGCCTGTCACTGTCTGCTCACACTTGTTCCTCCCCTGCCTGGATGTCGTCTCCCTGAGATCTCTCCGCCCGCCGGCCCCTGGGTTCCTTCCTGTCCCTGCGCAGGTCGTCGGAAGGGCCTGCCCCACCATCCTGGTAAAAGGAGTAACCCCGCCCCACATTTCCTTTCCCCACACCCCGGCTTTGCATTGTTTTCACAGCACTCCACCGCTGTCATAATCATGTATTTATTTGACTATTCTCCACCTGCACTAGCACAGAGCTCGTGACGGCAGAGGCTTTGTGCTCAGGGCCCGGTGCAAGTGTCTGCACTCAACTCTCCTCATCTGTAAAACGGGCGTAAGAATGATTCCCGCACTCTACGCTCAGTGTTTTCCAACTGCAGGTCACAGAACCTGAGTGGGCGATGACATTGAACCAGCGGGAGGGAAAAAAGAGGCTTTCTCAGCTGAGACATGACACAGACTTGAGATGACTCATGATTTCTGGGGGAAACCTCAGGACTAGAATTACAGGAGGAGCTAGTCAGGGCACTTAGCTGGCGGACAAGAGGAGGGCTAGTGGCCTGTGGAAAGGGGTGAGACCCAGATGCATGGGCCAAAGGTGACAGTGGCAGACTCCGTTCCCGAGGTGGCAGACTGGGGACCAGGAGCCCAGAGAGAGCAGGTAGTGCAGAGAAGCACGAGAAAGCAGGCAGTGAGCTGTTCCTCGGGGAGGCTGGGCTGCAGCCACCTCTGCTCTCCCAGGAGGTCGCTGGGGACCCGAGCACCACCTGGCCCCGCGGCTGGCACACCAGAGCCTTGCAGGGAGGCCTGGCAGGCTACCGCTTTAAAAAACAAAGAGGAGACCCCTGGACACCTGCTGTCCTGCAAGGCCCACATCCTAGGTGTGTTGGACAAACACAGGATCATCTATAACTCAACAAAACACAAGCCCGAGTCTCTTCTCTCCCCAGGACTTCTGCCCGCAAAGTTCTTGCCAACTCCCCAGGCCAATGTCAAATTAGAAAGGGGTCCCTGTCCTTTCAGAATATGGCTGTCCAGGCTCAGGAAGTAAGCGCCCCCCGGCCCCCAGGGAGCCCCTGGGAGCTGGCAGCTGCTGCCTCGCCACCTCAGCCGGGGAGGCCCTGGCTCACTGGGGACACTGCACAGGCCACAAACGAGCTCCCAACTGCCCTGCAGCTCCGTGGGTGGGCCTTGTGGGCGGAAACCGGCTCCTTCCTGTTTTGCCCCCTCCACCCCAAATTCGGTGAGAAGCAAACTTAACCAATGTTCCCAAACTGGGCAGCCCACCTTCTGACTGGAAGGTTCACCGCCCCCAAGCGAAGATGCACATGGACACGTCGGGGACATGTATGTGCACACGCACACAGGGCCCTGCTGGCATATTGCTGCACACGCGGGGGAGAAACAGGCACCCGCACGTAGGGCGGCCTCCGGACGTGCCTGCCTGCACACGCACCTGCTGCAGAAGCAGAAGTGGCAGCCGCACCGACGCGGCTGTGACTCATCTCGCTCTGGGGGAGATGGCTCCCGCTGCCACAGCGAAGGCTTTCGCCCCGGCGGGCCCCCCGCGGCTGCTCTGCCGACGCCACCCCTCTGCTGGACTCAGACACCACCGGATGTCGAGGACAAGCCAGCCTCCTGGGCTGCTACCAGGGACGCAAGGCCCGGCCGAGGTGGGAGGACGGCCTGGTGGGTGCCCCACGACCCTTTCTTCTCCCCCGATAAGCGCAGTTTCACCTGCAGACACCCTCAGCCAGTCAGAGGAGCCTGGCACGTCTTAGTAATTCTGCCCCACTCTGTACGCCTCTAACCCGGCGTGGCCACGGTCCCGTCCAGCCCAAACCGCCCCAACAATCCTGTTCCACCCACAGGGGCACTAAGGCCAGAAGCCACCTGGATCTCAGCAGCCGCCGTTCAGCCTGCCGAGCACCTCCCGAGACGGTGGCTGCTGCGCGCCCATCTCCGCACCGCTTCTCAGTCTGGGACGCCCTATCCCGCCCGGAAAAGGCCATTCATCTGGTCCAGCCTCAGCCCATGGCCATCTCCTCTGGGAAGACCTTGCACGTGGGACTGCACCCCACTGGCTCCTCATGTTCCTGGACACAAGTGACAGCCTGCTGTCTTGCTTCTTCTGCAGCGGGAGCCATCACCTTGAATTCCTGGGCTCCCCGTGCCTGGCATGATGTCTTCACACACCTACGGGGCTTAGGAAGTCTTTGCTAAGCAAAAGCAAGTGCCGGGGGGACCACCGCTTCTCTGTGCTCACCCTCAGAGGGATGCTGGGAATGACTGAGCATGTCCATTCGTTGAGCCTGAGGGTGACCGACAGTTGCCCACTGAGGGAGACAGGGACGAGAGGGAAACGATGAACCCACTGTCACTCTGCCTCATCTGTGAATTGGGGATGATCATGGTTCCTCCCCGGGAACGCTGTCGTGAGGATTAAGCGTAAGTGCCTCACACATGTAAGGCACAAAGAACAGCGTCCAGCACACCTGGGACACCCTGAAACTGCTGGCTGCTGCTATTGCTGTTAGGATTTATCAAGTGGCTTCTTGATACAGGGAATTAGTGAACTAAGAATTCATCAATGCCCTGCTAGGCGGCCCCAACAGACGCCTCTCGCAGGAGCCGAGCTCACAGCGGTAACAGAGCTCGTCAAGGGCGAGGCCGCCAGGTCACCGGGCCACATCAGGGCGCGGGCGCTACGAAGGCCACCTAGAAGTCCATGAGAGTTCTGAGAGGGGTACGTCTTTCCGGGGATTCTCAGGGAAGTCACCAGCATGAACAGGTAGAGGAGACGTAAAACTGGGCCTCAAAGGCTGGCTGCAAAGAACATCCAAATAGCGTCCCAGGAAAAACACTTCGTACCCTGAACTGTCTGCTTTAGCCTGGACTTTAGTCCCTGGACAAGATCCAGGGACTTCTTTTTGAGGCTAATACTCAAAGGACAGAGGGAAGCCTTGTAGGAGAGAGGTTACCTATGGGGGTTGGGCTCTGGAGCCAGACTCTCTGGGGCCAAACCCTGGCTCTGCCACTGATGATTTCTGTGACCTTGGACATGTTACTTGAAGTCAGCCTCAACTTCCTCACCTGTAAAGTGGGACTAACACTCTTTTAGGATAAAACATGAGAATACGGGTACCGTTTAGCACAGTGCCTGATAGAGGGACCCTGCTCAACTGTGCTTGTACCTTTCTCTCCAACGCTGCAGCCCAGCCATGGTGTAGGTACCCGCATACACTTGGTGACACGATGAAGGTGCCTAGGGGTTTGGTGACTATGCTAGTGACGGGAGGAGCTGTTATCATTCCTGCCTGTCAGCTAGAGGAATGTGTCTTCCAAACCTCGGAGGCCTTCCTCGGTTTTCTTCTGCCTTCCCTTCTCCAGTGAACTCTTACCTATGCTTCAAAGCCCGGCCTGCATGCTCCCTTTTATGAGTCTCCTAAGCAGAATCAAGGGCATGTTCC